GCAGCGGCAGCAGCGCGGGCAGCAACTGTAGCAGCGGCTGCTGCTGTTGCTTTCGCCGCTGCCGTCAGCACTACCTATGAATCCCCCTGCAGCCCTTCGGCCCTAAAGTGCGGCAGCAGCAGCAACAACTCCTGCTGCTGCCGCTGCTGCTGCTGCTGCTGCTGCATGCTGTGTCTGTACACCTGGCTGAGGGGCCGCGCGAGCCACAGCGAAGGGTCTCGCCTCAGCAGCGCCGCAGTTTTGTTTTTTAAAGGATTTCTGAAAATAAAAAGCAGCAAATTAAATGCTGCCACAAAAGCTAGGGTTTGTGCTGCAGCTAGGAGCGGCGAGAGTCCCCACGGCCTAGGGTTTAGGGTTTAGGGTTTAGGGTTTAGGGTTGGCTGACGCCACTCTGAGCCGCTCCAAAAGCAAGTCATTTAAATTTTGCTGAAAGACTTCAGAGCCCCTCGACAGCTGCAGCACTTGTGCTGCTGCCTGCACCAGCAAAAAGCATAATTTGTATTTTGCTGCTGCCTGCAGCAGCAAAAAGCATTTTTTGCTTTTCATTCATTTCTTTTTTAATTTCTTTATCTGTTTATTTATTTATTTGTATTTCCCCCCCTCGCTCAGCCCACACAGGTCAAGTTTTAAGAACTGCGTTCGCTGCGCCAAGCAGCAGCAGCAGCTGCTGCTGCTGCAGCAGCTGCTGCTGCTGCTTCTGATAGCAAAGGAAACCTATGAATGCATGGAAGACTCTACGAGATGTTTTTGTTGAATAGATTTCATTTACCCCTTAAAACGATTATTTGAATTAATTAATTAAAATTAGTTAAATTAACTAATTCGAATTAATTGAACTAATTTAATTAATTTGATTAATTTAATTAATTTAATTTTACTTAATTTAATTCATTTTCACCGCGGAGTCGAAAACGCCTTTCAAATAAATGCCAAAAGTTGAAAACAAAATGGCGCTGTCTTCTCGGCAGTCATGAATCTGCAAAATTAAAATAATTAAAATAAAATAACTAAATTAAATTAATTAAATTAATTAAATTAAGTTAAATCGGCTAAATTAATTAAATTAGTTAAATTAAATGAATTAAAATGAAACAATTGAAAAAAGAAAAAGAAATAACACAGCCAGTTGAAATGCGAAATTGCAAAATGCAGAAAAGCTGCTGCGCAGATTGCTGCTCCCATTAACCCTAAACCCTGAACCCTACACCCTAAATAAATAAATAAAATGAATAAATTAAAAAGCAAATAAATAAATAAATAAATGGTAAATAAGGTGAAATACAAAAAAGGAAACTGGACAACAGCAGCAGGCCCGCAGAGAACTCGCTGAGGTGCTTCGCAGCTCCCAAACCTCCCTTCTAGGGTTTAGGGTTTAGGGTTTAGGGTTTACAACTTTGGGCAGCTTGGGGTCTTCCAGCAGCGGCTTGAGATGCTCCATGATTTGCTGCGGCTCTTCAGCCAAATCGAACAGCAGCACGAAGCCAAGATCAGCAGCAGCTGCTGCTGCATGCAGCAGCGCAGCATTTTGGTTTGCTGCAGCAGCTGCTGAAGCAGCAGAAGCTCCTGCTTCCGCAGATGCACACGCTGCTGCTGCTGCTGCTGCTGCTGCTGGAAGGGGAGTTGGCTCTGCTGCTGCTTCGCTGCAGGGGGGCCACTCATCTCCTTGCTGCTGCTTTTCTACGCAGAGCTGCAACAGCGCCACTCGAGATGCTGCTGCTGTGGCCCCCGCTTGCTGCTGCTGCTGCTGCTGCGCAGCAGCAGCAGC